ACCTGATTCCTGTGTGTGGCAGTCAGTGCAGGGTCAGTCCACCACTCATATCAACCTACATGCACTCTGGTGTTTGGAGTCACCTGGTCAGTTCTGTCGCCAGCCCCATCCCATATGCAAAACAATGGATGTTGATGCCCAGCCTAACCCTGCCCGCCACAAACTCAGCCTCACGTACATCTGTGGGAACTACAGCCTAGTCGGAGTGACCCTCCAGAACCCCTACCAGGCCTGCCCCCAGCCCTGATTCCTGTGCATGCCAGTATGTACAGCAGCCTGGTTCAATCTGTCCCACTCTCATATTCAACTCTCATATACATCAATGGGTGCTGGAGCCTAGCTCAACTCAACCGACCCCACTCTCCAGCCCACACTCATGCCTGTGGGTGCCACCACCTGTCTGGCCCGGTTTGTCCCAGCCCTGGTTCTCATACTCACCATTGGGAGCTGCAGTCCAATGCATGGGCGACAACAGTTTCCCTACTGGGCCCACTCTTTCCCCTGGATCTTGCACTTCCCAGGTGATTCTACAGTCTAGTTTGACAGGACTTGCTCCAACCACAGCACTGGCCGGTTGATGCAATGGCAAAGCCCGGGCAGCCTGAGCTTACTCTGGTTCATGCACGCACCAGTGGGTATGCTTAGCCCAGCCTGGCTCTCCTGGTAACCCAGCTCGTATACAGGTCAATGGACTTTGTAGCCCTGCCCAGCCTGTTCTTTTCCTCAGTCCAGGCTCTCACCTCTCACGCTCAGCAGCAGGAGCAGGGGCCCAGCAGGGAAGCCTCTGCACTTCCCCTGTTGGGCTCGCCCCTCAACCCCTGCCCCCACTGGATCTTACATGTACTGGTGAATGCTGTGGCCTAGACTGGCATGTCTTGCCTCACTTCTGCATTCACCAACAGGTGCTGAAGCCTAGCCCAGCCCAGCTCAGCCAACCCCCAGTCCCAGCCTTAATGTGAACTGGCTGGTTTTATGGCCTAACCTGGCCACTCTTGTACCCTGTCCAGGTTCTCACATCTCACTAGTGGATGCTGTGAACTGGCCCAGTCCAGACTGTCCCCAGACCTGATCCACACTTACGCTGGTGGGTATTGTGATCTGGCCTGGTCTGGGCTGCTCCCAGGTTTGGTTCTTGCATTCACCTGTGGGAACTGCATCCTGACAGAGGAGTTCCCCAAGCTCATCTATCGGGTCTTCTCCCAGTGGCAGATCTTGCACACACAGCTGATTGCTTGGCCCAGCTTGACCTGGCTCACCTGTCCAGGCAGGTACAGCAGCCTTGCCCAACCGACCCACACCCATTCCGGCTCTTAATCATGCCTGGTCTACCCCAGACCAAGCTCTCATAGGGCTCAGCAAGTGCCAAGATCTTGCCTAGCCTGTGTTATATTCACTCTGGTTCTTGTGAGCACCAGTGAGCACCTTGAAGAAAATGATGTTACTGTATGATCTATGAGTCACTGAAGAATTGAATCAAAAGAAATAATTTATTTTTTAAAAGATTTATTTATTTTTATTACAAAGTCAGATATACAGAGAGGAGGAGAGACAGAGAGGAAGATCTTCTGTTCGATGATTCATTCCCCAAGTGACTGCAATGGCCAGTGCTGCGCTGGTCCAAAGCCAGGAGCCAGTAGCTTCTGGATCTCCCACATGGGTACAGGGTCCCAAGGCTTTGGGCTGACCTCAACTGCTTTCCCAGGCCACAAGCAGTGAGCTGGAAGAGAAGTGGAGCTGCTGGGATTAGAACCGGCGCCCATATGGGATCCTGGCGCATCCAAGGTGAGGACTTTAGCTGTTAGGCCACTGTGCCGGGCCCAAAAAGAAATAATTAAAAGAGATGAAACTAGCAAAAAAACATTAAAATCCATAAGATATAGTTTCTGTTGATCTTTGTTGATGAAATGTGTCTGCTGAAGGTAATAAATAGATGGGTTTTGTTTTTTTAATCCAGCCTACTAATCTATGATGTTTGATTGATGAGTTAAGCCATTTACACTCAGGGTTAATGCAAACAGGTGATAATTTGGTCCCGTCATTTTAGCAATGGGTTATTCATTGATTTAATCTTTTGTTGTTATTTCACTGGGATGTTCTTTGCATTTTTCTTTGGTTTTGGTGGGTGCTATTCCTCTTCTCTGTCAAGAGAACATCTTTAAGTATCATGTGTAGGGTAGGTTTGGAAGAGGCAATTCTTTTAACTTTTCTTTACTGTGGAAGAATTTTATTTCATTTTCAAAGACAAAGGAAAGTTTTGCTGGGCACGTTATCCTGGGCTGATAATGTTTTGCTTTTAGAATCTGGAATATGTCGTTCCATTCTGTTCTGGCCTGTAGAGTTTCCTGTGAGAGGTTTGCTGTGAGTTTAATTGGCATTCCTTTATATGAAGTTGATTATTTTCACGTGCACATTTAAGGATCTTTTCCTTATGTTCGAGTGAAGAGAGCTTGTCGTGGTGAAGATCACTTTTGGTCAAACTTTTTGGGAGTTCTGTGCCTCTCCTGGATGTTGTTTCCCAATTCTTTCTCTAGATTAGGGAAAATTTCCCTTTTATTTCATTAAATACATTTTAAAACCCAGCTTCTCTTTCTGCACCTTCTGGGACTCCCATAACTCTTATATTAGGCCTTTTAATAGTGTCTTTCAATTCTTGAATACTTGTTTTGGCCTGATCCAGCTTTGCTTCCAGTTTTTTATTTGCTTCCCCCTGGTGACAGGAAATATCTTGTAATTTTGAGATTCTTTCTTCTGCCTCCTTCATTCTATTTTGGAGACTCTCCACTGTACTTTTCTTTGCTCCACTATATTCTTCATTTCTGATATATCAGCTTTCATTTGATTCATTTCCAGTGTGATGTATTCTTTAAATATGTTCTTTAACATATTCTTTAAATTCCTGCTTTATGTGCTTCTCATTGTTGACATGAAGTTTTATAACAAGTGTTTTGAAATCTGTATCTCCCATTTTCTCGATGTCTTCCTCAGTTAACTCTGATGTTGGCAAAGGTGTTTGTTCCTTTGCAGGGGAGCCTTCAGTAATAATTATTGTGCATCTGTCTCTTCTTTTGCTCTTGGTCATTGTACTTCTGGTTATCAGAGTCTGTTCCTTGGGCAGGTTTCTAAGCTCTGTCACCCACAGGTCTACAGTTCTATTTTATTTTTGTGGCTGGTGCACGGCTCTTTGTTAGCAGTCACTCGTGCCACTCCCTCCAGTGAGTTCCAGGTCTGGGTTCTTATGTTAGATTTCCACCATGGTCTCCATAGCCCCAGCTCCTGGCTCACCAGTCTCCACCTCCTGTGATACCGTGCTGAGGCTGCACCATTGTCTCTGCAGCCTTTCTCCCACTTCTGGTTGGAGTAGGTTCCAGGATTAGAGACACCAGGTGTCCTATATAGCTAGGTTGTTGTTGGTGTGATCTTTCCAGAACCTTGTTGGCCGTTAGGCCTGAGGGCTACACGGACCTATTTTGACCCGTACAATCCCACAGTCAGTATTATTTTCCTGTGGGACCAGTGCAATGCTCTGAGGTCAGTGAGTTCTCGCTGAGCTCAGCTCATACACAGTTCACTGTTGTCCCTACAGTCTCAAAGCTCTTGCCACACTGTAAGAAATGGTGCCTGATGTGCCACTACTAGAGTTCTTCGTCTGCTTGCTGTCAGGTCTGAGGGCTACCCCGACCTGCCTTGGGTGAAACCTGTAGGATGCCATGTTGTTGCAGTTCACTGAGCCAGAAATGAGTTCACTCCCAGTTCAGTGCATGCACAGTACTGCCCCATAGCCTTTATCTACTTAAACAAAATGGGCTCCTAGAGCCCAATACAGCTCTAGGAGGCAGACTGGACTGTGAAATCCACTGTTCCCGCACCACCCATTTGGGACCTGCAGCTCTGGCTCTGCTCCTCATCAAACAGACCAGCAGGATGGACAGTTCTTTGTCTGGGTTCACCTCCCAAGCTCCCAGTGAAAGTCCCTTCCCACTTGGTTGCTGGTGGAGTTCTGGCTGCTGGTGGAGGTCAGATCGCCGTTAGCTGAATGCTGCTGGAATATCAGTCATTGCAACACCACACTGCTGTGCCCGCTGCTTTCCTGTGTCCGCCAGTCTCCAGGTGCCCCTCTGCTGTTGTTCTGTCCTCTTCTATTTCCTAGAATGTGCCCTGTCTGCTTCACACTGGCTAATGTTTCTCCGTCTGTTTAAACGTGTCCTTACCCTATTCCACTGTCTTGATTCTCATAGTCTTACTTTTTTTAAAAAAAGAAATTATCTCTTTCCAAACTCTTAATGTATGGCAAAAACTCTTAGTGTCATATGATGAGATTAACAAAGGGCTCCCCCACCCCTTTAGGAAGATGGTTCCCTGAAGGACAATGGTGTTGAAAACTTGAAAACTTCCCTAGTGATGTGGTGGCTTTGATGACTTAGCGGTCCATGTGGATTCATTGTCCAGCAGTGATGCAAGCCTAAGCTGGCAGTCATGTCAATGATAAGAACAAAGTTATTGGATTATGTGGGTATAGTGTTAACGCTATTTTAGAGCATGCTGTTTCTACGTGTATTAAAGTATTTCACAATAGCTTACCAGGCCACGTGACTGGCCTCTCACAGCTCCTGTTGACTGCCACACACACGTGCTTGTTCTCTATGGTCAGGATCTGTGCCTTGCGCTTTAGGATGCTCACCCAGTGAGGCTCCGAATGGGCATGCCCCTTTTGCACCTGGCCCTGGTGGCCGGACCCTCCCAGAGCCAGCAAGAAGCAAAGAAGGGCGCAGCTGCTTGAAGGCCCGGTTCCGGCGCCCGGGGCGCACCGGCCTCCTCGGGGCGCCGAGCCCTCGCCCGGTTGCCCTGCGGGTGAAGTTGGATCTTGATCCTTCCAATGGGTGGAACCCTTATCTGTGCTCCCGCGACCTGAGCCTGCACACAGCGCGCACCCGGGGCGGAGAGGGGCGCGAGCAGGCGGGGTTGGGGTGGGCCCATCGCTAGCCACGCCTTCGCCTTAGGCCCGTACCCGGTTAAAGTTCCAGGCCAATCACTGAAACCAGTCGCAGAACTCGCAGCACGAGCAGCACCATGCCCGTGACGCTGGGGTACTGGGACATCCGCGGGGTGAGCCAGGGGCCCGCCGGGGCGGAGGGTGGGGGTGGGCGCAAGAGGCGCCAGCAGCCGGGGCGCTTCCTGTAGGAGTTGGGGCAGGCCGCTGCCTGCGGCTCAGGAGCTCCCAGCGTGCGCCTGCGTGTGTGTGTGTGTGTGTGTGTGTGTGTGTGTGTGTGTGTGTGTGTGTGTGTGTGTGTGTGTGTGTGTGTGTGTGTGTGTGTGTGTGTGTGTGTGTGTGTGTGTGTGTGCGCGCTGTAGGGGTGTGTGTGTGTGTGTGTGTGCGCGCGTGCGCTGTAGGAGTGTGTGTAGCAGTGAGTGCGGGTTATACAGGGATTTACCTCGGGCAGATGAGCTTAACAGTCTTTGTCGCTTTGTGACCTTTGCCCCCATCCCATCTCTCCCCGCCTTCTCTGCCCTGCCTCCCTCCCCCAGCTGGCTCACGCCATCCGCCTGCTCCTGGAATACACAGACACCAGCTATGAGGAAAAGAGATACACCATGGGGGACGGTAATGCACCTGCCCACTCCAGTCCCTGATGGGCAAAAGCTGATTGACACCTACAACCCTTGCATGGCCACCTGCTGCTCACCTCTGCAGGCCCCCCCTAGCTGGAACTGAACCTGCCCAGCTGAGCCGGAAGGGAGGGCATTACTGTGTGTGTTTATGTTGGGGTCTTCCTTAGCCTTCCCCCGACCTGTTGTAAACCTTTGGCAAGCAGGGTCCAGAGCCCTTACAGTCAAGTCAGTCTTTCCCCAGACCTTGAATGTATGAGATGTGGGTTCAGATCCCACAGGTCCTGCCTTGGGGGTCCTGCCCCTGACTCCTTGGGAGAGTCCCAGGGAAAGAGGCTGCACACGGGGGAGGTTTTGTTTCACTTGGTCTTCTCCACAGCTCCCGACTATGACCGAAGCCAGTGGCTGAGTGAGAAATTCAAGCTGGGCCTGGACTTCCCCAATGTATGTGCAGGGGATGGGGTGTTGGAGGGAGTGGGGTCGTGAATGGTGTCTCTGCCTCCACATCCTTCCCAAAGTTAGAGGGTTCAGGACCAGGACCTTGTGCTCAACCACTGTCATCTGTGGTTCTCTGCAGTCTTTCCATGAGGTTCTATGTCATAGCTCACTAATGCCTTGTGCAGAGATTGTCTCCAGGGCCAGGCACAGAGGGTACCGGGTCCCCTGTCTGCCCTTGCCCAGGGCAGGGGATGCTGGGCACCTGGGATCCCAGCTGACTTCCCTCCTCCCTCCCCAGCTGCCCTACCTGATTGACGGCACTCACAAGCTCACCCAGAGCAACGCCATCCTGCGCTACCTCGGCCGCAAGCACAACCTGTGTAAGTGGGGCTGTCTGAGGGCGTGGGGCTGTGGCTGTGCCCTGGGCCTGGCTGGGTGGGATGCTGAGGGTGTCTGCTGTGTCTGCTGTGTGTGCTGCAGGTGGGGAGACGGAAGAGGAGAAGATTCGCGTGGACATTTTGGAGAACCAGGCTATGGATGTTTCCAATCAGCTTGCCGAGGTCTGCTACAGCCCAGACTTTGTGAGTTACCTGCGACCTTCCAGGGCCTCCTTGGGCAGCATGGCATTCAGGGCAGGGCTCTGGAATTCCCATCTACATGGGTCCCTTTCGCATGTGAGCTCTGAGGAACCACTTTTCCTCCTGGTTGTTTTCTGTGTTGCCACTCGTGACCTCCTAACCCTAAATTGCAGCAAATGAAAACCCTGAGTCAGTTCCCACCTGTGCTAGGGTGGAGTCCAGCCTCCACAGCCTGGGCATTCAGTTCCTGGAAAGTGAAGCTGTATATTCAAAGTTCTTTTCAGCTCTGACCTCCACCAGGAGGCATTGCTCCTGTTAGAATCTCCGACCACCAGGGAAAGAATAACTCAGCCAAATATATAAAAAGAATTTAGGTGGCCTTTATTTCAAGGAACCATGGTCCTGGGCTTCCCTTCCCCATGCAGCAGAAAGACAGATGTGAAGGAGAGAGCTACAGGGGAAGAAGAGCTAGGAAGAAATATGCAGGGACCTTTAAACTCCCTTTGACACGGAAGCCGAAATGGGGGTCGCCTTGGCCCTTATTTGGTGAGGGGATATGGGTTTGTGCCCTCATTGGTGCAATGCTGGTTTCACAGCCTGAGGGGCCCTGCCAGAACCCCACCATCCCTTCCTGGTTGGGTTGGAAGCCAACTCCGCCCTCCTCCAGTTACTGTGGTAACCATCAGCTCCCAGCTGCTTTCTGCCACTGCTGTCTCCTGTATTATGTTCTCTATGAGGAATAGGTGTGCAAGATGGGCTGCTCTAAGGACACCTGTCAGTGTGAACTTGGTCCAGTTGCTTTCCCAGGATTGTCTTTAGTAATGAGGTAATTCAGGACACCTTTCTAATAGGTAACTCAGGCCAGAGACAGGAGATTTTGTTCTTCTCCCTTTTGACCCTCACACTCTCCTTGGCTTTCTTGAGCCATTCAGATGTCTACAGCTCACTACCCTACTTTCTAGAACTTTTGACTTCGTTTCCTATGCTATTTTCTCTCTCTATCTCATTTTGTCCCATATCAGAGTCCACAGCTGGGCAGGTGTTCAAAGTACTCTTAGATTTGTCCCAGAGGAGGTCCTTTAGACACCATGAGTGGCAGGTTTAGTGACACCGTTATATTCCTCTTTGCCTTCTTATCACCTCGTGTTGATGGCATCTGGTACGAGTTCAGTCTAAGTCTGGATACTGGCTCAGTGCCAGGCTCAAGGAAGGTGGGTGCCCACCTGAGCCAGCCGGGCCATGCTGTGCGCAGGGGAGGCTGCCTCCTGCTGGGAAGCTGGCGTCTGAGAGTGCTCACAGCTGTTTTCCACCTCAGGAGAAGCAGAAGCCGGAGTACTTGAAGGGAATCCCTGACATGTTGAAGCAATTCTCACAGTTCCTGGGGGAGAAGCCATGGTTTGCGGGGGACAAGGTAAGGGTCAGGGAGTGAGGAGGCATCCTTCTCCCCGAGATGCAGCCTTTTGTGTCCATCCATCGTTGTGTCCACTCATTGTTGGCCTTCCGCAGATCACTTTTGTGGATTTCCTCACTTACGATGTCCTTGACCTGCACCGCGTGTTTGTCCCCAGCTGTCTGGAGGCGTTCCCAAACCTGAAGGCCTTCGTGTCTCGCTTTGAGGTGATGCCCCTGCTTCTTTTTCCTCCCCCTTTCCTATGCCCCTTTCTGTGGTGCTGTCCTACCTAGTACTGAGGCTGCATGGGCAGTGGCCGGTGTTGACTGAGCACTGGCGACATGCCAGCACCAATGCTCACTGTCTTCACTGTGATCACTTTAATCTTTACAGCACTGCTATAAAGTTGATGGTGTGAGCATTGCCATGTGCAGAGGAGGAAATGGAGACTGTAGGGGGTTAAAGTCGAAGTTCCAGAGCTTCTGGCTGCTGTGGATAGCAGGCAGTCACTCTCCCAGTTTTGTGCTAAAAGGAGCAGCCTCAAGCCCTTGTCAGACCTGCATGTCCTTCCCAGGACACTATGGGAGAGGCGAGACATTGGACAGAGTGTCTGTGGTCAGCTTCAGGAGGGCTGGGATGAGGTAAGGTCAGTGACCACTGTCAGAGACACTGGCAGGCATCTTTCAGGAACTCCGTAGGGCTTGGCACTTTCCAGATTATAGACAGGGAGGCACCGAGACCCAGCGCTAAAATTGGCATTGGACTTGAGTGCACACGTTGGTGTTCTTGATGAAGGATCTTGTCTTGGAATGTCTGATAGTGGATACTTCTCTCTGTCTCTTTTCCATCCCAGTGACCCATGTGTTCTGTGACAGGGCAGGTCCTTAATTTCACTCCTTTGTGGGCCACAGTGTCGGGTGCAGGGGGACTCACCAAGATGGACTCCATGCCGGAATTGAGTGTAGTTGGAGAACTGCAGGCAGAGCATGTAGCACACCTTGGGTGCTGAGGAACATGGCCAAGCCTCAGGGCCCAGCTACTCCTGTCACCCTGTATCACTTATTTGATCTTCCAGTATGGGGGCTTTGAGTTGTTAGTCCAAAAAGAATTCAACCTCCAGGCTATTCCTTGTCTCACTGCCTGTCAAGAAGTGTACCTTTAAGCTACTCATGGTAGTCTGGCTCAGACCCAGGCTTGTGCCATGGGGAAGACGGAGGAGCTGACTGACTGTGGCCTGCCTAGCCCTGGCCTTTTGCGGGCAAAAAGACCTGAATCTCTTTGAGATCTTTGGCAGTTGTGTGGGCTGGTCACCTGCCTTACCTGGTAAGAAGGTACATTTTCTCGTCTGTTATAATGAGTATTGTTTGCCATGAGGTAGGTGGGGGGCACAGAGAGATTGGGCTCAGCTACCAGGTGGAAAAATCTGGACCTTCTAGGAACTTCTCCATGAAAACAAGAAGAGTGTTTGAACAGCCGAGGGCCAGGGCTTTCTGTTCCAGGCACTTGAGCAGCTGCTCAACTCTGGTTTTTGTTTCCCATTCTCAGGACCTGCCAAAGATCTCTGCTTACATCAAGTCCAACCGTTTCCTCCCGAGGCCCTTGTACACAAAAGTGGCCACGTGGGGCAACAAGTAGGGCAGGAGATGGGAGCGGGGAGCCCGGCTCGGCCAGCTGCTGCCTGGGGCCCGATGGGTGCATCCCATCTCCCTGCTCCCCTGGCCCGACCTTCTCTTGCTGTTCTGCTTTCAATTCCCCTCTCATCCCCATGGCTTTGCTGGCCCTCTCCCCTCCTGCCTGGTTCATGTCCCTTTCAGGTGCCTTAAAGCCTCATTTCCCTCTCTGAACAGTACCATGTCCTGCATTGAGGCTACTCATTGTCCTGCCCACCCGTGACTGTGACCTGTGGTGTGGTGGCTACCCCAACTCTGCCTGAACCCCAGTAAAGAAGTCTGAAGCACATTTTGTTTGTGTCTTGTGTTGTTCCCTCTGGCCCCCTGTACTCACCAGCTCTCATTGCACCTTCCTAGGGAGTGGCCAAGCCACCCAAGAGCTTGACAGTGGCTGGGTTCACAGGGATGAGGTGGGATTGTCGTTGTCCAATACTTCTTGCTCCCATGTGTGATTCCCTTAGAGCAGGTGGCCCCATGAGGCACCCTAAAGGACAGAGATGGCCCCTTTCTGGTCTGGGGCCTCTCATTCTGCCAGCATCATGGCTGTGCATAGCTGTGCATCTCAGGAGGCAGGAGGAAACAGGCAGCCCCAGCAGAGGGAGCCGAGATCCTGTGGCCTCCACACTGTGTGGCTCTGTCCCATCTGCTGGGTCTCCAGGACCCTCTCTCTGCTCTTTCATTCAGATGTCTTCAAAGCCCTGCCCCTGGCCACCTGTGAGATGCAGATAGTTTTTCTCTGTACTACTTGGGCTGGGTATAGAACTGTAACATAACAACCTGCAGGCTCCTGGTGAATCCATTTTTTTTTTTTTCTGATAGTAAGCATTTCTGATGAGAATACTGATGCTGGTATGACTTGAATCCCCTTGTAGGTAGCTTGTTTCTGGTGATTTTCTGTCATTTTGTCATGAAAAGGATATATGGGGACACACAGTCTAATCTCTCCATGATCACTCTCTTTCAAAGACGTTCTAAATGCAGACTTCCTATATCTCAATGCATTAACCCCATTTCTTCTTTTGCATCCTTTTCTTTTGATGTATATGTATTCTGGGTTTCATTCCATAAATTGAATCAACTGTACTTGAAAATAATTGAAGATGTATTCTGTCTCTGCTGAATGTGTAGACTTTCTTTTTTGAGGTCCTTGTTCCTTAAACAATACAGTATTACAACTATGTGGATGACACATTGTCCCAGGGATTATGAGCAATGGAGAGGTGATTTGAAGTTTATGGGAACATAGTATATATATATATAAGTACAACACCGCTTTGTACAAGAGACCTGAGCATCTGCAGGTTTGGGAATTTATGGGGGGCACCAGGAACAACCCCTGGAATACCATGAGATGACTGTGACTGCAAATCAAAAACCACAGGGTAAGTTGTTTCAGAGGAACTGTAGCTCCCTAATTACATTGGTACAAAAAGTTGTTGATTTTGTGGTTCAGATATCCATACGTGGCTCACATGGGAGAAAATGTAAATCTAAAAAGGACTCTCATCCAAAAAGTATGTATCCAGAACACAGTTGTTGAAATATGGGTTAAGACTTGAACCGGCATTTCCCAAAAGTGACTATCCAAATGGCCAATAAGCAGATGAAAAGGTGCCTAACATCACCTGGCAGAGACGTTACAGGTGCAGTAAGAGCCAACTGTAATCCCCAGAGGGACGGTACTCTAAGCTGTGATACTGTGAATTTCGGAAATAACTGAAACTCTCATACACTGTTTGTAGGATGACCACTTTTGAATCTTGGTAGAATCAATGAGAGCCAAATATATATCTACATAAGATGCAGGAATCCCATGCAATAAAGATGTGTGATGATGGGGCCAACTGCCATCTCTGATGCTGGCATCTCATATTGAAACACTGGTTCAAGCTAAGGGTTCTTTGCTTTTTTGGGAAGAGAAGCGAGGATGAATGAACTTGACAGGCAGAATAACAGAGAGAGAGAGAGAGAGAGAGCTTTATCTGCTGGTTCACCCCCTAAATGGCTGCATTGGCCAGGGTTAGGCCAGGCCAAGGCCAGGAACCCAGAACTTCTTCCAGGTCTGCCACTTGGATGGCAGGAAATGAAGGGTTTGGACTGTCTTCTGTTGCTTTCCCAGCTGCATTAGTAGGGAGCTGGATTAGAAGCAGTGGAAGTGGGATAGCTGGCTGATGGTGGGGAGGGTGGGGGCTGGCATTGTGGTATAGCAGGTTGAGCCACCATGTGTAATGTGGGCACCTCGTATGGACAATGGCTCAAATCTGGCTGCTCCACTTCCAATCCAGCTCCCTGCTAATTTACCTGGGAATATAGTGGAGGATAGTCCAAGTTTTTGGACCCCTTCATCCACTTGGAGACCTGATGAAGCTCCTGGCTTTGGGGTTTTGGCTGGCCCAGCACTGGTGATTCCAGCCATGTGGAGAGTGAACTAGTGGATGGAGGATCTAATTCTCTCTTCTCTCACTGTGCTTCTGATTTACAAATAAAACAAATTAAAAAAAAATAAAGTGGAGCAATTGAGCCTTGAACTACCACCACTCCTTATATATATTACAGGTCGTGGCTTAACATGCGAGACCACAACATGGCCCCAATAAATAAACCTTTAAAAAGTGTGTTAATGTCATCCAAGAGTTATGTACAATTGTGTTGCAAGCCACTTTAAGTAGCCCATACCTGATGACATTCCAAACCCAACAATAGAAGAATAGACAAATAAGCTGAGTTATCAATATAACTGTGTTATTTATATAATGAAGTATAATACTATTAAAAAAACCCAAAACCAAAAACAGGTACCAGTGCTACACGAAAAACAGGAATACAACACTGATGTGTTGTTGAGCAAAAGGATCTAGATCCAAGTCCATAGATGCCGTTCCATTCACATGGAAATCCACACACAAGGGAGATGACTCCGGGTGTGGAGGTCAAGTGCATGTTGACTCAAGTGGGGGTGGGAGGGTCACCCACTGAAGGGACTTCATGGATCGCTAGGATTATTGTCTGTCTTGATTGTGTGATGGTTACAAAAGTATATGAAGGTCAGTACCACAGAGGGGTACCTTTTAGGGCTGTACACCATTCAGTGTAAAGTTAAACTTCAATAAAAAGCATGCACACTCACTAGTGATCCTGCGGTTTCTTTCTGTTTACCTGGTATCTTCCCAGGGCTACATTAGACCTGGAAAATGACTGAAAGATGAGCTTGCAGCAGTCAAAGCCTTTATTTCCCATAAAGAAGGTGTGCTAACTTATGTTTCTGCTCTATTACATTGTGCAATGGTTAATTTTGTGAGTTAACTTGACTGGCCTAGGAGATGCCCAGCTAGCTCGCTCACCATCATTGCTGGATGTGTCTATATGGACATTTCCATAAGATGATAGCATTTGTGTCAGTAGACAGAATAAAGATGCTTGCCATCACTGATGTGGGTAGGTATCACCTGACAGGTCAGGGACCAGGTAGCACCCAAAACATGGAGCCAGGGTTGTGGCATATCCCATACTGATGCTGGTCCAGGTGCACTTCCCGTCCATTTCTCTGCTAATGTACTTGGAAAATGGCAAAAGATGGTCCAAGTCCTTGGGCCCCTGTACCCACATGGGAGACTCGGAAGAAGCTGCTGGCTCCTGGCTTTGGCCTGGCCCAACACTAGCCATTGCAGCCATTTGGGGAGTGCACACAAACTTACTGTGATGATCACTGAATTAGTCTCTAATATATAGTTTAAAATGGAACAAAAATCCCTGGGGTATATCCACCGGGTCTTTTTGGAAGAGGCTAGCTGAGGCACCTTAAAACAACTAGTAGAGTATTTGGAGGGAAGTTTTAATCCCCACTCAGTTTTGTTTTTCAGGCTCTCCAGAGGGCACACCATCTGCCTGCCTGTGTATTAGGCAGCTGCCATGTGCCTGAGGGCTTATGGACAGGTTGAAAGGTGGGTGATAGGCCCCCTGCAGTAGCTGAGTAGCTAAAGTCCTTGCCTTGCATGCACCGGGATCCCATATGGCACTGGTTCATATCCCAGCTGCTCTACTTTCTATTCTGCTCTCTGCTTGTAGGAAAGCAGTGGAGGACGGCCCAAGGCCTTGGGACCCTGCACCCGCATAGGAGATCCAGAAGAAGCTCTTGGCTCCTGACTTTGGCTCAGCTTAGCTCAGTTGTTCTTGCATTCAGCTCTGGGTCACTTTCTGAAGGGAGGAGGGTGGGCAGTCCAGCCCTGGGAAGTTGGCAAAGACTTGAAGGAATTTTCTGTACATCTTTCTCAGGATGAATGCATTAAAAACAAACCAAACCAAAAAAAAAAAAAAAAAAAAAAACAAAAAACAAAAACCCATGAGCACAGTTCATCCTGTTTAGCCTTGCCCAGCAGCTCCTGCAGAATGACCTGGGACCCTCCCCCAGCCAGCATGCCCCGCCCGAGAGTCCTGCTGGATGCTGCTGTGGGAGTCACATCGCTCCTTCCCCAGAGCTGGGACCAGCAGACTGCCCAGCCTGTCCTCTGCCCTGTTTACCCCACATGCCTGCAGGGCCTGCCTCCTAAGGTTGTTTCCAGACTCAAACTGCACCTTCTGCTCCTGAAGTGCCATGTGTGTGGTCACCCATATCTCCTTTTTGTTGACCAGAATTTTTTAAGGACAGTGTTTTTTCAGCAGCAGGAGCTCTGCTCATTGGGTCAGATTCCTTAATGCTGACACTGCTGACACTTTGGGCTTTGTCATTAGAGGCTAGGCTGTGAAGTACAGGCTTTTAAGCAGCATATTCAATCTATCTACCACATACTAGCGTAAATTCCCAGTGTAGTAAAAGTTTATGGGAGGGTTCGGTGTGATAGCATAGTGGCTAAAGTCCTCACCTTGTACTCACCCATATGGGCGCCAGTGTGATCCCAGGGGCCCCAGCTTCCTGCTTGTGGCCTGGGAAAGTAGTTGAGGACTGCCCAAAACCTTGGGACTGACCCTGCACGGATGTGGGTGACCCTGAGGAGGCTCCTGGCTCCTGGCTTCAGATCGGTGTAGCTGTAGCCCTTGTGGCCACTTGGGGAGTGAATCAACTGATGAAAGATCTTCCTCTCTGTCTCTCTTCCTCTCTGTATATATGACTTTCCAATAAAAAAAAAATCTTAAAAAAGAATCTATGGGAATTGGCATGTTGGCTTGGTAGCTAAATCCTCACCTTGAACATACTAGCATCCCATACAGGCACCAATTCATGTCCCGGCTGCTCCACTTCCCATCCAGCTCCCTGCTTATGGCCTGGGAAAACAGTAGAGGACATCACAAAAG